TGATCTAGATGATACCAATTTAGTCTTTTTATTCAGAATTAGACCATTCCCATATATATATTCCCCAGTCCACGAGTTCACACCACCTTAACTCAGGGGTCCCCAACCACCGGGCCCCGGACCGGTACCGGTCCGTGGAACATTTTCTACCGGGCCGCCGGTTTGCTGGGCGCTGCCATCTTGTTTTGATGAGAAAGTGCTTCCGGGTGAGCTTTTCCGGTTGGAAAGCGGCGTTTGGGTCCTGAAGGAATCCTCGCGCCTTAGTTTCATCGAAGGGGGGGCGGCTTCAAACGAAACTAAGGCGCGAGGATTCTTTCAGCACCCAAGGCAAGCCGAGCGACCGTCCTGAAGCCATCCCGAAGCCCATCGACAAAGGTACAAAGGAGGAGTTGAAGGTGGTGGGGAGAAGCAGGGGACGACTGGCTGGCCGGTCGCTTGGCTCGCCTTGCCTTGTCATGCGTGCTGATGCCGGTACTGGGCCGTGGATCATTTTGTGATGCCGGTACCAGGCAGTGGCACAAAAAAGGTTGGGGGCCACTGCCTTAACTGATCCTTTTTCCTTCTCCTAGATTCACCAACAAACAACACACTTATTTTTTTACTTTTTTTTCAGTCTTTCATATATGTTCTTTCCCATTTCATTTTCTTACTTTCCAAGTTGCAAACTTTAAACAATTATGGTTTTTAAAAAGACTTTTCTACATAATGGATGGGCCAGTTTGGAGACATAAAAACAAAGACCTCCTCTGGATTTCAAAACAACCAAGGAATGCTACATTATTTAATGTACCAATTTAAACTATTTACACTTCGCTTCTCTTATTCAATCTCAAATGGTATAACAAAGAATCTGTCCCAGTGCCATTTCCTGCTTTTGTATCCAACCCTGTCCATCATGCTCACTGAGGTACCCTGAGGAGAATCCCATTGTGGGACTGAATCTTCTCTGCACCACTTCTTTCTCAGTGGAAGAACTCACTACTTTGTTCACTTTTTAAAGACTTGAAATGCATGTCTTCCTACATATTTTCATTCATTTTTAATATCCTGACTTTTAACATCACTTTAAGATTTTATTTTTAAGTTGCAAATCACTGGGGTATTTCAGAAGTCAGTAGTATATATAATCTAATAAAAGAAATAAAGTGCAAAAGGCAAGGTGATTTAGTTCTCTTATATTGAGCTATAGCAACTGTGAATATCTATACTATGGAAGGTCTTGTCCCCAAACATCTTGTTATCATAACGGTACCTCAGAGATTAAATGAATAGTGTAGCCCCCTACCAAATGTGTAAAAAGGCATACAAGAAACTTGATGCAAGAATGAATTCCAGTAGCTGAATGGTGGTGTTAACAGGTAGTTACTAATCATGACATTCCAGAAACTAAGATGGTCCTGCTCCAAACTGTTTTCCAAACAAATATAACTGAGGAGGCTGAAACACAATAGAGTCTTCCTCCCTGCATGTTAGAGATATTAGCAATAGCTCTGACACTGTACACTAACTTTAAAAAAGGCAGCAATATGTCAACTTACTTCAGCTATCCCATGCAGCAGAATGTTAATGGCTCTTGATGAAGAGTATTAATTTTAAGGAAAGAAAAATCTAAGTTGTCAGAATGGATACAGATATATGGGATTTGGTGGCTTAAAAACAAGAAAGTATACTTAAATATAGATATATAATGATGTATTTTGATTTAAAATTTCATGGAAAGATATTTTTTGTTAGGCTTCAGTTGATAGGAAACAAGTTCATCTTTTTCAAAGGGTAAAAATTGAAAACGAGTCATTTGTGCTACTGCATTTATAAAAACTTGGGAACTATTTCCAAATAATATATCTTGCATATTATTTTAATGAAAATAGCAGGTGCCAGGATGCAGATGGTAGAAATATTCCCCTTCTTCAGACTCCTATTTTGAAATGCTACCATTCAGGTGTGGAAGACATGAGTCAGCTTCTGCAAAATCTTTTATTGCATAGATAAGTTATAGAAGCTGTAATAAGTCTGACCTCTTTTATCCACTGCAAGCTCTTTCGCATACAATATTATCTACTTGATCTGCATTGTTTGTTTTTGGTACCTGAGAACTAGATAGTTGCTTCTTTTGTTCCCAAGTTAAGCTGGGTTTTTTGTCACTCATGAAAATACCTACTGGAAATGAAATAAAATAAAATGTGTATACTTTAAAAATGTATACAGTTTTTGTGGACGCAGATAATCCTGAACAATGAAAATTGTTTGCAACAACTTCTTGCAAATTATGACAGTTTTCTCCTAATTAAATAAAATTCTAATCGGATTCATTTTCCCATTGTTATCTCTCTGTTGAATACTTTGGCAATCATTCAACAGTGTACTTCTTCATTCATCCCACCTTAGCATTAATGAGGCAAGTAAACAATTTCATCCATTCAAAAGTTATTAGATGCTTGTAATTAAATTCATTCCTAGGCCTCAATAAATGCACCATTTGATAATCAGAAGCATATATTCTTTTGCTGGTAATCCTATCTCAGCCTTCCCCAATCTGATGCCCTCTAACTACGGCATCATGATAACATCCAACAGTGGGAAAACTAGTTAACGTAATCCTAACTCTTCTGGGAAGGCATCAAGTTCCATTCACTTCAAAACTTAACTTCTACAAGTGAAACAATGGCTGGATTCACTGTTCAGCCTAAGGTATAATATAATTTGTTTAGCTTTGGTTCATGATATTAGTAGAATCTAGCCAATCGTTTTTTAGTCAGGAAATATTGACTATGTAAACCAGAGCTTAATGAGATATTTGAATCCAGTCAATCAAAATTGGTTTGGATAGATCCCAGAACTGCACTGAACTGCACACAGTACATAACTGAACTTTGGAATCCTCTAACCTAAGATATAGTGATGGTCCCATCAACTTAAATGTCTTTTAAAAGAAAACAAGCCCAATTAATAAAGGCATTAATGACAACCAATAATGAAAGCTGTACCTACTCTCCAGAATAATAGGACCTATATCTTTAAGTACTAATGGCAAGGGAACATTATTGGAAAACTTTTATTACTTTTAAATCATGCTTGTGAGCTTCCTGCTGCTATTTCGTTCTAGAAATAGGTTTTAGACTAAATGGATTGTTCTTCTTTTATATGAAAATATCTCATGTGTGCAACTAGTTTTCCTCACTGCAAATTAATTTAGTGGAAGAGATATCAGGAATCCTGGAAAAAATCTCACTGTCAAGTATAGATTCT